GTCATGGGTTCAATTCCCACTGGGCTCATCAATTTTTCCGAGTTATCAGTTACACTACGCTACATGTGTAGTGTAACTTGTAATGTAGCGTAGCGTAACTACATATGTAGTGTAGTGTAACTTATCTTAATTTACTACAAGTTACGCTACATGTTAGCTTGATTTCAGTTACGCTGTCATTTAGCGGAAATTTTGTTAGTGTAAAAAAAGTTACGCTGTTGGTTAGTTTAGTGGTGATTATTTAACACTAACACTACAGAAAATTTGAGAGAAAAAAATCACGCTACGCTGGCTGTTATCTCAGCGGTGTTCAGCGGGAGCTAACACTACAGATTTTCCAGAGAAAAAAAAGGCCGCTACACTAACAGTTAGTGGCCAAATAGCGTAGTGTAGCGTAGCGGCCCACCGTTGGTACCAGCTTGGCAGGAGGGATTCCTCCCAATGAGCTGGCTCCAGCTAATTACCTCTGGTCCTGTGATTCTCATGTGACATCCTTGAGCTGTGTAACTTCTGATCCAATAGAGATATGAAGGTGGTTCCAGTGAGTGACTAGGGGTTAAATTGGCTTTAGATTCCATTTATGAAGTCCATGGGTCCATATCTTGAGCCCTTCATTGATAAATAATAAAAATTTGGGGCTTGGTTAAACGACTCCCAAAAAGTGGAGAGCTGACTCCCAAGCCCCGGAATCCCCGAAAAATGGGAGTTGAACCCCCAAAACCTTTGATTGGTTTGGGAGTTGACTCCCCAAGAAAAATAATAATAAAAAATAAAAATCCCTGGCCAGTTTGGGAGTCGGCCTGCCAAACCGACCAGGGTTTGGGGGTCGATGACTCAAAAGACCCAGGGCAGCGGCCGGGAGGATTCCTCCCGGCCGTTGAGTACATCTCTCAACGGCCGGGAGTTGACCCCTTGCCCGTGAGAGTGTCCACCTCTGATGGCAAGGAGTATTCTCTCTTGTCAGCTCTCCAGTTTTTGGAACTCGTTTAACCAGCCCCCTAAAATTTTAAATTTTTATCCTTCATACACAGGAATAATGACCACAACAATGTAACACAGCGTAGTGCTGCTAATGCTACAGCATCACAAGGAGTTTTTCAGGGTTGCCGCACTGCCACCAGGGTGCTTTTCAGTGTAGTAAAGCATAGCAGCCCATCAATGGTGGTGGGTACCTAGCAGCGCTTGGTGGGTATCCCTCCCACCCATGCAGCAGTACCAGGTGTGGTACTAGGTACTTGGTTTTTGATGGAAAGCAGTGTAGTACCCAGGTACCGCCTTCAAGTACCACCCACCCCAAGAGTGATCCAGGGCCTGCGGCCTGGTAGACTGTGAATGTGAAGGAGAGTGACCACCATTTGCTACCCAATGACTTAACAGTGTGACAGGGCAAGGGGAGCCATTGGGGGAAAATTGATGTTGCACCACAACCATTTACCCCTGATAAAATAACACAGGTGGTTCGTACCCCCAGGTAGTGCTGGGTGTGCTACTTGAAGACTTGCTGCTGCTCTGGAAGCCCTTACAGATCCAGATCTTGAAGCCCTTACAGATCCAGATCTGGAAGCCCTTTCAGATCATAATCTGGAATCCTAAATTCCAGATTTTTCCAAAATTGTGTTTCCATCACCCACTTGTCCAGATTGAACATGGCACCCCCAGCTTCTCTCTACACCTTTGGGCTCAAGACATCAAACTCTGTGATTATTACAATAAACTCAACCACCCATTTCCCCCTTAGCCCTTCTCTGCATGGTGCCATCAATTGTCACATTATCCAATTTCACAACAGAAAATGGATGGTTATGGATTTCTCTTTTTCTTTTGATCTGCCTCTGTGTTATTCACTTGTCTTACAGGCAAAAGCAAACAGCATGAATATTGAATGACTGGAAGCAATGGGGTCTGACATTGTTTGTTTGGATTGCTAAGGTAGCAGGAGAGGAGATATCTAGAAAGCTTGCTAAGAAAATACATATAAAACCTCCTGTAGATTTGATAGGTGGGACTCCCCGGGAGGCACCCAAACTTCTGGGGAAAATCTGGCCAGATCTGGATATAAGAGGGCCTTCCAGATTAACAGGAAGTCTTCCACTGGAGGACTTCCCGTCGCAATCTACGACCCTCCCAGAAGTTGATTTACACCCCTTAGATCTATTTTTTTCATAAAAAAAAATATTTTTTCTGAAGCCTTCCGGAAACAGCTGTAATGTGAGCTGGTTAAAATCTTAATTGTGTTGTTAATTTAGGACTGAGTGAGGTCTAAAAAGCACTCTAAATCACGACGGGAAGTCCTCCACTGTCCTGTCGAAATCTGTGGGTCCCCCAGAATCAATTTAGAGCCTCAAAACCCAAATTCCTCTCCAAGAATCTACAGTTTTTGGGTCTATGTAGATTGCCTTCTTGGAGGGTCCCAGATTTGACAGGACGTCCTCCACGAGATACCTGAATTTGGCCAAAAAAAGGTGTGGTACCCAAGTCCACAATGACTATCTATAAACTGTTGTTGTGTGTATGTACCTGGTAAATATCCAGGAATACAAGAAGTTTCTTATCAGCATTTATAGATAGGACATCCCCAAAGAAGTCTATTCACCATGAGCTCTTCAACAAGGGCATCAAAGGGTGGGATTCTTGATGGAGGTATCTGAGCAATTGTTTTGAGAAAGCTGCAAAACAATCTACATCCTCATGATCAGCCACTGTCTTGTAACAAGGCTTGACTTTCTTCCATTGGTTTGCAGGGAGAAGGACACTTGCAGTCATGATTGTGGTTAAGAGATGGGGATTGGAGGTGTGTGGTGGAGTGGTGGCAAGGCATTAAGTGTGGGGAATTGTTGGATGGAGTTGGAGGAGTTGGGAGTGGTGGGTTGTTTGTCAATGAACTCTTCAGGAGTTTATGAGGACTTTGTTTTGAGTTGATGTTGATGAGACTGAATCAGTTTGGCAATACATGCTTCTTGAAGAAGACTAGAGCAGCGGTTTTCAAGGCAGCCAGACCGAACTCGACCATCCAGAAATCCTAACCACAAGACCGTGTTAACCGGAGGACGAGGAGAAACGATGTATGTGGACCTGAACATCCCATGGCCAACGAGTCATCTAACCAGTCTACTCCAGACAACCGCCTCAACGGGCTCGCGAAAGGGGAAACAAAAGGCGAACAACACCACGAGCAACACGAATGGAAGCTCTTCTAAGACCAATACGCTGGATATTTGGAAGGGCGTTTCTCGGGAAGAACGGGAGGGACTCAGGGAGACGGTGGAATGTGCGATCCGACGTGAGTGATCAGAGTTTTTATTTCATTATGTCCCTATTGGGGCATTTTTTTTGAACTTGAGAACTGAGAAGCCTTTCTCTTTTCCAGTCGGTTACAGCGTCGTTGCGTTCAACCTCGTCATCCCTCAATCCCTCGACCCACTCCAGCTCCAGCCTCACTTCCCATTCCCTAGCGATGCGCCTCCCTTCCCGGACCTCGATCCACGCACCGTCGAGTCTGATGGGTCCACCAAGACCGTGCTCCAGTTGAGTCGATTGACGATGGTCATGGATGAACATGTGGCCGGGAACGCCAAAGGCGTCTTCGGATTCGTCAGTCTCTCTCTCTCCTTATACTCTGCTTCTAGCCGATTTCCATCTGGGGTCCTGAATCTATTGTCGTAAATCGATCAACAGTCGAAATCTCAAACCAGTTATCTTGGTCGTTATTCGCTTCTCTCAGCTATGCCTTTAGACGCCGCTAGCTTCGCACATGCTTGTCTCTCCCTCTCAGCTCCCTCGCCGACAGGGATCGATCTGATAAGTTTCGACTTAGGCGCCTCGCCCAAACGTGAGTAGAAAAATACACGAAAAGATAGAGCGAGAGAGAGAACAGAGAACGAATGAAGTTGATTGAGTCCTGATTTGGGGGGGGGGGGGGGCGATGAACAGTTCCGTTCATCATGCCACTTTCGACGGTCTCGAATGCCCTAAAGCAAGGCGTGTTATTCGAAGCGATCTACAGTCCAACGACGAGTCTAAACAGCTTCCGTTCGCACTCGAGCAGCGGGCTGCCGGTCTCCGCATCCTCCTCCACTTGTCGTCGCAACCTCATCAGCGTCCTCAAAGAGATCATCCGGGTCACCAATTGTGCACATGGTCTCGTCGTCAGCTCTGGGGCTGCTAGATGGGCCGAACTTAGAGCGCCTGGGGACGTCATCAACTTGTCCGTCTCGACCTCTTCTCTCTATCACTCTTCGAAATCTCACTCATCTGGTCTACTCTCTCTTGCTCACATATATATCTATCTGTCTGTCTGTCTGAAGACTCAACGTCCTTGGTATCTCTCATGAAAACGGCCGGAAGGCAATGACGACGAACCCGAAAATGCTCGTTTCCAGAGCCAGTAAGTCTCTCTCTTTTCACTCTATCCAAGTTTCTCAGATTAACGATGTCTGTGATCCCTTCCCTGATCGGTCTCGTACGACAGTGTCTACTCGCCAGACTCACAAAGCCGTGATCTCCAACCCAGTGATCGTCTCTTCCTCGTCTCCTGCCGGCGCCTCTAAACGCCCGCTCCCGCCGTCCGATTCTCTGGATCCTCCCGTCCTCGTTCAAGGCTTTAAATACACTGATACTTCTAATGATAAGGACCTCAAGCGGCTCAAAACTTAATCCCTTCTACTCTTGTTTTTCCCCTTTTCTTTCTTCCTTTTTTTCTTTCTTGATAGATCACAAAAAATATAAGCTATAAGCTTACACCCTGTTTCCCTCCAATGCCACCAATCCATCTGACCAAGAATCAGGACTCTCAATGAAAGAGAGTGACAGAGAGACAGCGAGAGAGCAGGCGGGATCCAATCAGCCCGACTGGCCAACCTCTTCAACACACATACACACCCTTCCGTCCTTTTTTTCAGATGAGTGAGTGAGTGTCAGAGACACATATCGGTATCAAAAAAAGACACAAGGATTGCATGGAGAGGTAGATAGAAGTGACCAGAAGACAGACAGATTGTGATGTCGGATACACTCTTTCAGACCCAATATCTAATGACACGCAGTATCTAAGGTATGCAAATATTTTGATACATCAGGGACGCCGGAAGCCCAAGTCCGACTGAGGGGCCAATTATAAACACCTTTTTTTTTCTTTTTGAGATTATTCTCAGTTATGTTTTGAAATTTTTCATAAGACATTTGTAACTATTTTTTATGTGAAAACCATTTTCAAACAACCTCCAAGAGGTTGTTTGAAAACGAAAAATCGTGAAGTCCGCTTATGGGAAATGGAATACAGCCGTATGGGATGCCACTACAGGTCTTATGGTCTGTATGGCCCTGTATGTCCACATGGCCGACGGAGCTGATCTTGTCCCAAAGAAAATCAGCCCTCGACATCCTAAAGTACTCGATAAATCGCACCGCTGGGATCCGTTCGTCGTTCCAAGGCTCCCACCGGTCGGGTCGGACAAAGGCCACTCGATCTGCTCGGATGTAAATTTTTCGTCCAGGGTTTGTTGTAGTCGGTGCCAATTCCACAGCGCAGCAAATTGGATCATTGTGGTGGGGTTGATCGGAGGGGGCAGCATTGGGTGACGGGATTCTCAGGAGGTCGTGGATACAGGAGGCTGTATCCAGGCGTCCGAATATTTTTTTTTGCTGACAAAGTTGTAATTTGTTTATAATTGCAACATATTTCACGCGTTTCACCCTTTTTGGCATTATAATTACTTATAAAATCAAATAAAAACCGAACCAAAAAAAAATCAAAAAGGATTCAAAAAGAAACCAAAAACTGTTTATAATTGGCCCCTCAGAGTGACGACTCCACAGCTCGGAAAAGTCAAACAACCAAGGTTCTTGTGTTGTGTTACGAAGTTGTAACTCACACCAGCTCGATGACGGCAGACGGTATTGGTGTCCCGATTGGAGATAAGTCTCCGCTGCGCCGTTCATCTTTGGTCCTCCTTTCCCGACGATTCTGGAACGGCAACCTCATAGAAATACTTCTATGAGGCATGAATGAATCGTCCCGCATGATAATCCCTCGGAACCATGACAACCAAAAAAAAATGGGAAAAAAATCTTCTGCAAGTGCATACTACTCAACTGGGCTTTTCCTACTTCGCCGCTGGGCCGGCGGGTGGGTGCACCTTGGATGAGATGAGTTCGGTACAAGGACCCGCCCGCTGGGCTGGATTCCACCTTGGCAGACGGCTTGTAACTTCTAGCTAAGGACACTTTCTCCCAAGACAGCATCCACAAGCGCCCGCTTTGTGGCTGCTCGTTTGGGAGGAAGCTTCCTTCTCCTTGGCCTTTACATGCTTGCCGAGGAAGATTCCTACTCGGGGAGCAGTCACAAGGTGTACCCATTCACCGAGCACTAGCAGGCTCCTTGGTGAGCAGGAATCTTAAAAGAAATGGCCGGGGAGAGCTCCTCCCCAATGAGTATGTAGGCAATGGCCACAGAGGAGTCCACCTTGGCAATGGGTGATTCCCATGGAGTAGTTCTCCTTGGCAAACAGGTACAACCTGTACAAGATGATCTCAAAACTTCCAATAGTGTGCATTTCATTTCAGATTATGGGTGCTTGGGTCAATCTTTACTCAAGACGACTATCATGCGGGACGTTTCGATTGCCGTAGAAATACTACCTCTGGTACATAAGAGCATCTCCACCGCGGTCCCTAAATCGGGTCCCTATCCCGCTTTTAGGGACCGCAGCCCAAAAAACACCTCCCACCGCAGTCCCCATCGTCGTCCGTATTTTACGGTTTTGATCATCGGTCCCTCTCCAGACCCTGGATCCAAGGATTGGCTAGGGACACTGACATTCACAAGGATCACACACAACTCGTGTGTTTCCCCTGTGAAACATCCTTCCATCAACAACTCCACCTCCCCCGATACCCCCTATGTTCTAGTCTGGATACAGCAGCCAAGCCATCTGCAAACAGCTACCAATACTCCAACGACTCCTCTCGCCATGGCAACCCCCACACCCAATCAACCATTTCTGGATCCAAGTCTGGTATCCCCATCTGACGTCACGGTTGTTCAAGCTCCCGATAGTACCATATCCACATCCGATATCACTGTGGTTCCAGCTCGACAACCCACATCCGATATCACTGTTGTTCCAGCTCGACAACCCCCCAAGAAGCCATCCAAACCACGAGGCAAGAAGGCTGCCATGAATAACACAGATACCGCGGTCGATAAAACCACCAACAGTGCCACCAATACCGCTTCCAAGACTTCCAACTCCGCCATTGAACCTGAGGACGACACAGACAAAAAAGGCCGATCGCGAACCTACCTCGAACACGAAAATCTGCAGCTGTGTAACTCGTGGCTCGAGATCAGTGAGGATCCCAAGAAGGGCACCGATCAGACCTTTAACGCGTTCTGGGAGGCCATTGCAAGGCACTACGCAACTCACATCCCAAACGCCCCGCGATCCGCCAAAAGCCTGAAGAATCATTGGAGTGACAAGATTCAGAAGGAAGTGAACCGATTCGTCAGTTGTGTTAATCAAGTCCAACAAGCAAATCCCAGCGGGACGAATTCGGCCAACCGACTCACCATGGCAATGTCAATGTATTCAAGACTCTACGAAAAGCCCTTCACTATGCTCGGTTGCTATGAGATTCTCATCACATCCCCAAAATGGAACGACTACTCGCGTGGCCTTGCAAAAAAAAGAGAATCAACTTCTACAGCCGCTAACAAACGCAAGGAGCCCGACAGCTCATCAACCAACTTACCCAGCACGAATTCTACGACTACAGATGCTTCAAACGGCGGTCGTGGTGGGGATTCTTCTAGCGATGAGACTTGCGGCCCTCCGACTCGCCCGATCGGCCGTAAACGTGCGAAATGCGACCAAGCAGCTGAACTAGCAGCCAAAAAAACTCAGGAGAGCCTCAAGAAGATGGCTCAGGCTCACTGTGATATTGCTGAGGTCGCTAAAAAACAAAGTAGCTTCCTAGACGCTCAACAGGCCGCCATGAATCGTTTGGTGGATGAGTCGATTATGTGCAAGGACCTCTCTGGAGCAAGCGAGATGATGAAGAGATATTATTCATTCGAGCAATCCAAGATCATGGCGAGATTGGAAAAGGAGCATTCTGCTTCCAGCAATGCGACTAGCACACGGGCTCCTTCGACGAACACATCTAGCAACAATGCGACTAGCTCACAAGCTCCTTCAACAAACACATCTAGCGCACCAGCCCAAACAAATACTATAGTAGAGTGATTGTAATCTTCTTTTTATCGATCAATCTCGGTCTAGTGATGAATTCTTTTCCATCTTTCTCGGCCTTGATGTCTATTGAATCAATCTTGTTTTAATGTCATTGCCTGTCCTTCTGGTTGAATCGATGTCCTTATTTATTCAATACAATTTTTTTTCCTCACAGGTGATTAATCACATTATTGGATTGTCTCGATGTCACCTTATTTCTTCAATTCAATTTCTCTCTTCTAAGTTAATGGGCAAAACCAAAGTGATTGAAAATTAATTACATATTTCCAAATAAATAAGACATTGAGAATTGAGAGACGAGTGAGTGAAAAGCAAAAGCGATCAAAAATGAGAAGCGATCAAAAAATAAGTGGTAGAAAGAAAAAATTGATAAAGAAAAGCTTGACAAGACAAAGTTGCAAATCACTCGGAATTGGAACCTTCTTCATCCAATTCACTTGAGTCGTCTGGGTAGGGAAGGGGTTCCTCCTCTTCGCTGATATCCTCCTCAAGTTGTCCCTTTCGTGTCCAAAGATGAGCGATGAGATCATCTCGTAGAGCAAAATGATTCTCGGAATCTCGCATTGTTCGGTAGTTCCGAATAAAAACAGAAAGATCTCCTGATCGTGTTGCGTCAGGCCGAGTGGATTCAGATTGGGATATCCGATCATAGACATGGTCATGAGGAGTATCTCGCTCATCCTCCACAATCATGTTGTGGAGGATTATACATGCTCTCATCACTTTTTGAAGCTTTTGATGGCTCCATGAGAGCGCTGGCCTCGCAACAATACCAAACTGTGCTTGAAGCACTCCAAACCCTCTCTCGACGTCTTTCCTCACCTTTTCCTGCATTTTGGCGAAGTACTGATTTGTTGGGTTAAAACAAACACACAATCAGAATTTTCCTATGTCAAACCAACAAAAAACAAAGCCACATACCTTCCGTTGAAGCCCCTGGGGCTTCGAGATTGTCTTGATCAAGGTAGACCAATCGGGATATATGCCATCGGCAAGATAGTAGCCTTGGGTATATGTATTTCCATTGACGACGTATTCGCACCGGGGAGTATTTCCATTCAGGAGATTTTGGAACAGCGGTGAGGCATCAAGTACATTCTTGTCGTTATGAGAGCCTGGCATCTCAAAGAATGCGTGCCAGAACCACAAATCTTCGGATACAACGGCTTCTAGCACAAGCGTTGGGACCTGTATACAATAAGTTTTAGTCAGTCAACGAAGATCATGATGAATAAAATGTCGTCTAAATACCTTTTCTTTACCCTGATACTGCCCCTTCCAACCGGTTGGGCAGTTCTTCCACTCCCAATGCATGCAATCCAGGGAGCCGAGCATGCCAGGAAAGCCTCTATCTTTGGAGTTGGATAACAAGCGCTTTGTGTCGGCCTTGTTCGGTGATCTCAGATATTGACTGCCATACAAGTTAATAATTGCTTCAGTGAAATGATCGAGGCTCTCAAGTGATGTCGATTCGGCAATACGTAGGTACTCGTCGTTCGCGTCACCGGCCCCACCATAGGCTAGAATTCGAAGTGCAGATGTAATCTTTTGAATGGGATACAATCCAGGTTTCCCAATGGCATTGCACTTCCGAACAAAGTAAGTATCGTGCTCCGTGACATCGTCGACTATCCTCAGAAAAAGGCTTTGATGCATACGGAAACGGCGCCGGAATTGGTAGTCGTTGTATCGTGCCCGCGGTGTTTCAGAAAAGTAATCCTTAGTTAATTGTTCGTATCCAGCCTCAA